TAATCTCTATATTATATTTTTATATATATTAAACAAGAAAGTAAAATTTATACGATGTTATTATGTTTGACTTCAAAATTTTGTATAACAAAAAATAAATGTTTTAAATTTAAAAAAGATGCGATTGTGAAATAATCTTATTCTTAATGAATTATTTATTTTAATGCATTGTATTGTTATTAAATATTATATACAAAATAATATTTATCTATTAAATTTTTCTTAAATAATAATTTAGCGAAGACATATTATATACTGTATTTTACTATATATCTTTACACCTGTCCAATATATAAATATCTTGAATTATTATAAAATAATAAAAGCAAAACTGTAAAATATTTTAAAACTCAGATACATAAAATAAACAAAAAATTTAATTTATATTAAAATCTATATTCATTAATATTTACCAGTTTGTTTTATATTGAATATTATCCACTCATCATCTTTAACTTCTTCATATATAAAATTTGGAATATCCAAAATACGCAACCGTGTTCCCAAATGTGACATATTTAACCACATCTTAGGCATGGTATTTCTAAAACTTGGATATGCTTGCGTAGTATAAGTTAGAGGTATGCTCCAATTTTTTGATGTATGAAGAACTTTTAATGTTATATTTTTAAAACCACCAGGATTTCGTATCACCTTCAATACGGGATAATGCTTTTGCTTGAACCAAGAATCCATGTGTTTTGTTATATTAACTTCTTCAAAATGAAAGTATGGTATTTCATCGAAGGCAGTTTGTATAGCTGTCCAGAAATCGTAAGTAGTAGTCCACTTATATGCACTGAAATTGTAAATTTAAAAAATATGAATTTAAAAAAATAGTACACAGTAATAATAAATTTGTGAAATTTAATGTTAGACAATGCGGTGAAAAAAGCAATAAAATTTTTGAAAAGAAGAAAAATTTAATAAAATTTCTTTAAGAAAAGAATAGAACTGTCGGTCCAAGAAAAGAGAACATGGGAGTGAAATTAAAATATTAAAAAATGAAGAACAGAATAATGGCGCAAAAAGCAATAACCCTAAATTTTTTATGGCATCTTATATAGAATTATTTTTATACTTAACATGTTTAACTCAATCATACATAACTATTATATTATAGTATATTATAATACTTGCTTGTTATATATATATGTATGGATACCATTCCAAAATGTTCCTTCGCCAACTGTGTTTTGCAACATATGCAATATAACGGATGCTATAACAATACACTTAATTATATATTACAGTGCCTGTATTTAATTGTTAAAACATATTTTTTATTATAGATTTTATATCTATCTTAATTTAATTTTAATATATTTAACATGTACATTTTTGAATTGAAATCTTTAGAAAATGTGAAACTATCGATTGGTATACCAGCATTCTAACAAATAAAAAAAAATATTGAAAGGCATAAGATTTTATTTTGCATTGTTGCCATATATTAACAAGCATTTCTTGTGTATTATTATATGTGTCTAACAATAAGTGTTAAAAATATAAAGCTAACCTTATCGACGACATACGCTCCAAAAAATGTAGCAAAAGCCTCGTTTAACCACAAGTAATACCACCGAGATGAAAGCCATTGTCGTATCTCTTTATGAACTATTAAGCGAAGCATTTTAATTTTATTCCCAATGGGATCTAATTGTTTATCATATACAACATCAAATGTTCTAAAAATTGTTTTAAAATAATACAGTTAATTTTATATTGTTAATCTTCATTAATATTTTATGTGATATGCATACATACATATATACATATATTAAACATAAAATTAATTTTTAATTTTTAATTTTTACTTGAGTGCTTTAAAAATATATGTAATAAAATATTTTTTTAATAAAAATATTTTTTTCAATTAAACACACTTAGATACACATACAAGAATATGCTATAAAATAATAATCTATAAAGAATAATCTATAAAACGTTTTGCTATTTTAAATATTATTAATAATTTAATCCTTAAATAATTAAAAATAATTTGTTATTTATATATTTACCTGTACAAAACAAGCCCTAAATTCACCAGGTCTTCGTCTTCAGAATTTATGACCGCTATATGATCTATGGGAATCTTCTCTGTTCGTTCCCATTCGTTTCTCAAATATCGCGTGATATTGATAATAACTTTATTCGCATATTCGAATGGACGAAATAAAGCATGGTGTTCTTTGAGGGTTGCAACTTTAGAAAGATCAATAAATAAATTTGCCCTAGTCACAAATATTGTAACGAGATAAGGAGATATTGCAGGAGTAGTATTGAAGTTTACCCACAACATATCGTTTTCAAGTACTTTCATTTCTCGCACTGGTCTATTTGAGAAAGCCATATAATCAAGATGATGTATTATAGAAATATTAAATGTAGCTTTTAATTCCGGCTTGTCCCAACATGGAAACAATCGTCGGGCATTAATTGGTTGGAAAAGTGTTGCAGGCGCCCAACTATCACAATTTAAAAACATGAATGTAACAATTTTTGGGTTTTTGCCGACATAAAAATATTAACAACTAGAAAATGTATAAATATTATATTTGAAGAATAATTTAATGCGTTCTTTTTTTATTATATATTGTATAATGTATATGATATGTAATAATGTTTTTGGTAGCTTTTATATATGTAATAATTGCAATGTTAGGTATTTAACAATATATTTTATATATTTAACATATATTTATCAGTTACTCACTCTTTATTTTCCCTTATTATTAAAGACGAATTTCCGATGTCTCCCATCTCAGCTATAATACCGACAAATTTCATCTTCAAGATATAACGTTCTGATGATAACTCATTCATGAAAGAAAACTCGACAATATGGGTCTTATTATCATATAAATGTTTTATCGGTTTATAAATAATCATTTCTTCGTTGTCGTATGGCTGAAATCTTGGTGGATTATCAGTCAACTCTGCATCCGTTATACAGTGCACGTTTGAATGTAGATTTATAATATACGTTGGTTGAAGAATGGTAATGTTCACGTTGCATTCGCCGTAATAAAAATTCTGTTTATATGGCGCAAAATGTGGTACCATCTTGATGTTATAATGCTCTGGTTTTATGTAATCCAATAATTTAAATGAATGTTTGTCGGCCAAAACAGCCGCCGCGGCATAGAATATTAAGCCGCCTATTAATAATAATTTTAAAAATATCATATCAATATATTTGCCTCAGGTATCTGCAGAAAAAATTTTTTTTTGAAGGAAAAGACAGACGAAGAAAATAAATGTGGCGCAGAAAGAACTTTCTCTATATCATTTCATTTTCTATTTTATTTTACATAAAAATAAAAAAGTTGATAGAAGAGAAATATTAAATCCACATTTATTAAAAAAAAGATATATTATCCATACATATACATATAAAAGTCATATTTTGTTTTCTTTCACGTCTTATGTCTGTTTTTGTCTTATGTCAATCTGTCTTATGTGTGACCGACGCTTCTACTTATTTATTATGTGTTGTATTTATCTGTTTGGTCGTTACTTATTAGCAAAGATTAAATTAATTCAAATTTGTTTTTGTTATATTATCTTAAATAAATCGAATTAAGAGATAGAAAATTTCTCAAAAACAATTACCGGTTACATTTGTTACATATACATCATTTTTAAAAATTTGGTTTTTGTTTCTGTCTCGTTACTATACAGTTTCACTCAGCTCTATTTAATTTTAAAGATAATATTGCCCATAAATTTTTTTATTACGAAATGTGTAGAACATAATTTTAACATTTATAATAATTAATACACGATAAAACTGTGCTCTTCGGATTTATACTTAAGAACAGTTTAAATTGCGTTTTATATTTTTTATATATTTTTTTATATTTAAAACAGATATATACACATATATATTATATATGTTTATTTAATAACTTACTCTGTATATTAAGATTTTATGTTACAAGTTGTATTATACGATGTTTTGTAAAAATTAGTTTTAGTCGATCTTTCTATCTTCTATCATAATATCTATGTAATATTGAAAGTATTTATCAACACAATCACACGATCTTATTATTTCGAAAGACCACCAATTACTGACGCTCCGTAGACGATATTATAAGAAATATGTAATGTTATGTCAACAACTCTGCTAAGGTTATTAATCATTAAAAAACATCTTAATAACGCTGTCAAGTATAATCATCGATGCGCATTATTTATAAATTTAACGTATATTCCGTACACAATACAAAAAGTATTCTTTTATACTCTAAAAAATAAATATTGCAAATAAAATCGCAATTTTTCGTATGACATTTTAAGAAAACCTGTCAGATGATATAGTATATATAATACCAATTATATAAACGCGAAAAAATTATTAACGCTAATAATTTTAATAACGCTAATAATTTTAATAACGCTAATAATTTTAACGTTAATAATTAAAACTTCTTCGAAATCGATAAAATACAGTTAAAACTATAGGGAAATATAATAATTATAATAGAATAGACCTCCGCGTTTCAGAAATCACAATTTTTCGTATAACGTATATAGATATAAAGAAAATCTTATAATTAAACATTATCAAATCAAAGGATGCACACATATAAGCATTATATTAGCAGAGAGAAGCCTGAGAGAGGCCACGCCGCGGTTTTTCATGAGATCGTTTTCCTAGCTGATACAATGGCGCTAACTGGATCGATTTTAAAGCCGGCGAACTACATGGCTAGATGACACTTTTTGATGCCATGGTAAAATGACTGGCTAGTCCATGTCCGTGCTAAACAAATTGTGGATCAAAAATGCGAAAAAATATTATGAATTTATTAATATTTTATTAGCTGCGCGTGATGTTTTGTCATTCTAGTATAGACTACAGCGATAATAAGTTATAATTGAAATATTTTTATGTATATGCGCATATAAAACAAAATAAATTTTCTGAAATAAATTTTCTTAATAATTTTTTCCCTAATTTTTAAATATAACATATAAAAGATATTTATAATAAATTGCTTTCACTTTTTTCTTATTTTTGAAACAAAAGTATTAAGCATTTTGAGCATTATCAAATCACGCTTTTAATTTATATCGCTTTTTATTATTAATTTGGTTTATAATTATTTTATTCAATTAATTTTTTAATTTATGAATTCAGTTGGATGCACTAGTGCGCATCGGTGCACATTAAAAACTATTATATAGACAAATTTATATCAGCACAATTAATTATATTTTCCTATAGTAACCGTGTTCTATCGTTTTTTAAGGAGTTTTAATTGTTGACAGCGTTAATTAATTTTTTCACATTTATATGATCGCCGGTGATACTATCAGCTGTCAGATTTTCGCAAAATGTCATAAAATGTCGAAAAATCGCGATATCTTGTGCAATATTATTTTTTAGCGTATATAATGTTAAGAGTGTTTTTTCTATCCTGTGCAATTTCATTCAGAATTTTAATTAAAAGACCGGAAATGCAAAAATAATACTATTTTCAAGACATTTATATACTTATACAACATTAATTTAAAAAAACGATTAAAGCTCTCTTTTCTCTATTATTGTCTTTTTCACTTTCATTTTATTTAAAAATCTCCTCACCCAGCAAATGCCTTCGTTAAGGTGGAGATACCATCGAGAAGGAAAAATGTTTATTTTAATTTTTTTGTAATATATAAATTTCTTTTAATAAATAAGTTTTACAAATTTGTCAAATAAGAGATATAATATACGAAGAATTATATAAAATGTATATAATATATAATTACAAATTATATAATGTATAATTACAAAATATATTACAAAAAATTTAAAAATATAAAAATTATACAAAGTATATTACAAAATGTAGTACAAAACATATATTATAATTAATTCTATTGGGTTGAACGGAAAGCTCGTTCCGTTTTAAAGCTTATTAAGTTTTATATAATGCAAACAATTCTGATCAAAAGAGTCGTTAATAAAATTATCGATCTTTTTTCAATGAAGAAGAAAAAAGTACTTACAATTAGATTATACTGGCGCATTTTGCGTAGAGTTGCAAAGAAAATATCCGAGAAAAGATAGACGAAGCTTCTGATGTAAATCAAAGATTAAATCATAAGATAAACCGCGATTTAAAATTTGCGAAAAAAAAACGCGATTTCAATATACATGCAATCGGAAAAACAATATAATTATTACATATTTAAACGAAAATGTTTCGACGGACATTTTGTCTTTTTATAATCGCGTCTGTAATATAGGACATTTGTATACAATTTGAATATAAAATTTAACGCCCGATTTATTTTCAAATGCATAATTTTATTAAATTAAATTAAATCAAATTAAATTTCGCGATTGAGAATAAGAATATATGTTCCGTTTCGCGGAGGATTGGCTAAACAGGATAAAATCTTATAAATTTTAAGATACCGTTATAAAAACATTGCGTTATCGCCGCGTTCAATGGAGCAAAATTGGCCCAACGATTTAACCAAATCAAAGTCCCTCCGCCAAATAACACGCCGATTAATATCCGACAAAGACAAGAACAATCCTAAAGGTGGAGAACGATCAACTTCTTGCTTCTACATCGATACACATGTATTACATTTTATTTTGTACATAATAAATATATATGCAATTTTTTATTTATAAGAAAAGGTGTAGCATGTGTATTATTTTTGAAAATTTTTTATAATTAGTTTTAATTTTTCTACTAGTTAATTTTTAATTTGAATTGTATTTTATAATTATATTTCAGTTTTTAGTTTTCCTAAAAAAAATCATACTTTTTAGTTTTCTTAAACCTAATAGATAATTCTAACAACCTTACTTTTGCTGGCTAAGCCAGCGGGAATCCGGGATCACGGAAATTTCGGGGAACGTGTCCTACTCGCGTATCCTACTCGCGTGACCTACTCGCGTGCCCTATTCGCGTACCCTATTCACGTGTCCTAATAGAATGTATCGGTAGCATTCTTGATTACGTGCCATTGCACGTAGAAATGCGCAAACACATGTATTGTCTAACATGTGTATTTTTGCGCTTTTTGATCACGATATTGGTCAACTATGTTGCTTCCGTTGGGCCAGTTGGACCTACCTTTCGTTGATCCTGGCCATATCCATTCTGGCTACATCTAGCCCGAGATGTAGCTTCAATCTCTATTAGAGGGCGATGAAGAAGAAAAATTTCTTCCGTTGCCGGCTAATTATTATCGCCGGTGCATGAGCGTAACTTTACATTAATACAGCCAACTCCTCCAATGCCAAACATGTTAGTATTGCTACAATGTGCTGTTAGACGGTACAAGAGAAGGGACCTTCTTCTTTCTTAATATTTAAATGGCCGATATGATCAGGGGTAGATCAATATATTCGGGCCAACAACAGGTTATATTAGAGTATAAATTTCAGTTATGTATATATACTGATTGAGTAAATTCTCTTGGGGAAGGAGAGAAGGAAGGAATTTTTTTGGGGAGGTGATAGGAAAGGAAAAATGGGAAAGCGCAGGCCAGAGTCGAGTCGGGAATTGAACCCGAAATCTCCGGGATGTGAGTCAGGCGCGCTACGCACTGAGCCACCAGAGACCCCTGAGAAGGGACCCATTAACGACGATTCCAAAACAATCGACCGAACTCTAACCGATTCGGGTCGAACCGTTCGTCGGAGCGAATCCTCAGTTTTCAATATATAAAATAAAATATAAAATTATAATTATAATTTTTAATATAACATTATTGATCAGAAAATGTGTCAGCTGGTTGGATTTATGTACTTAATTTTATAGCAATTAATTATTTTGATACAATTTAAGTTTGTAGAATACTATGTTATTACACATACATTTTATATATATATACCAATTGTATGTGTGACACTGATTTTTGTGCACAAGTTGTGGCACATTTACAAAGAATTATTCAGGACAACTTGCAACATATGTTTAGATATATATAGCTATAGATGTTATTTATAATAAAATAGAGATCTATTTTTTATAGATTATTTTTATATATATAATGAGAACAGCGTTATATATATTTTATATTG